ATAAAAATAATATAAATTATGAGACTAATATCGCTATCATTGTGACTTATATGTTTATATAAACAAACTTGAGAATGGCAATCGCATACTGACGCATATTTTATCACGAATATATATATATAAACAAAATTCAATATAATAACAATCATTCTTTTGTAAATATTTGAAAAACTAAGACTAGTAAAAATTATATCCATAAACAATAAATATAAAAAAAGTTATTCAAAATGATGTTTGAAATTGATGAAGAATTCTAGATAATTATCAAATGTAAATTTAAGAATAAACAATTAATATTTAAAGCAAAATTATTAATTGTTTATAATTGTTGTAAAATTTTGATAAGTGAATTATCTTTAATAAACAATGAATAATCGACAGATGACCTAGATATATGTATAATATATATAATATATATAATGCTCAATATTAAATATAAAAATTAAACAACTTTAATTGTTAAGATAAAAATTACTTACAATCCAATGAATTATTACAAGCTGTGTTTCTTCTATATTCTTTTTCTCTATCACGTTCACGTTCTCTTTCTCGTTCCACAACTTCGAGACTTCTTTGTTTCGATGTATTGCTCATTATACTTGTACCTCTAACTAGACTCTTAGAAGGCTCATTTCTTTCAACTAACATTGCACTATACATATCTCTAACATTCGCTTCTGAAAGTGATATCGAACATCCATGATGCCTTCTTCCTACACTACCAGTATTATCTTTATTCATATTGCGCGGATGTATGGAACTTGGATAAAAGGCTGAAGTATTTGTTTTGTCCAAACTATTTACTCTTTCTCTATGATGAATTTCCCTTTCTCTATCTCTATGATAACGATTACTACTTTCCACCAGAGAGCCATATTTTTCACCTTGCGATTTATAACTATGACTCAATTGAACTTCTGGCGGACGGTATGGAGGCATTTCATGTCTAAATATTCTAGATTCCATCAGTGAATCACGATATGGAGAAGTACTTGGCTCAGGACCATATGAACTTCTACTACTTTCTCTACCTACAATATAAAATTAAAAATTAAATTTTTGATTTTATCTTTTATATGTATAATAAAAATATCTCACAAAGTTTAATTTTGTATAAAATTTAACTCACATTCTTACCATTTTTATTCTTTTCCAATTCTAAATTTCCTGCTCTGTTCTCTCGTTGTGAATCAATAAATGTCTTTTTTTTAAATAGAGGAGTACTAGTTGAAAGTGACAAACCTAATGGAGGTGGTTCACCCAATGGTACTGATTTCTGATTTTTTATACTTTCTAAAGTACCGCTTTTGTGTCCCCTAGTTTCCAATGTACCACTATATTGCCTGGGTGAAGATTGTACTTGACTTGTCGATGTCTGAGTGGCAGAACGATGATGATGTCGATGTGGAGAATCCAATAATCGATATCCACTTGATTCTAAAGATGTACGACTATGAGAGACAGAACTGTCACTAGATCGACCAGAATCTTGAGAATGATTATGTTGACGTCGTGTTGTAGGCACATCATGATGCCTATAATGTCTATTATTATGATGATGATGATGATGATGATGATGATGTCGTCTTGAAGATGGAGATGGAGAAGGAGGAGATGTTTGAAGATCCACACCAACATTGGATGTTCTTGTTTTATTTACACTACCACTTTGCTAAAAAATAATAATAAAATAAAAAATTTACCATATTAATCTTTCATAAAGAATATCAAAAAACTAGATTATATAAAAAGATTATGTAAAATTAAAAACTTTACCAATGAAGAAGATAAATTGGAATTTTCTTGATGATTAAATCTTGTTAATCGACTGACTGAAGAAGTTTGTGTCTGCGTTGATACAGACTCTTTTTTTCTTGGCTCGGTTGATTTCTGGACATCAATTCCACTACTACTTGCCGGTTCTGTATTTTGCTTTAATGTCTGCAATATAATAAAATTTTATTATTTTTTTTAATTAATATAGATTTAATAATATTAAAAAATAGAAAAAAAATTATTAAAAAAATTTACAATTATTACAATATTATCTACATTAAAAAATAAAAATTTGATACAATATAATTTAAATGTAAATAAAATATAAAAAGTTCTCAAATAATTTTCATGGTTATAATATAGTATAACATAAACCAGAAAATTTTCTCCTACTTATAAAGGGCTATTTATAACTATGTGAAAAATAGACAGCTTACTTATATCTTGAACATTCTACAGAGAAATTATACTGATATTTATATTGATGTATAAATAAGTTTTTAAATATCATATATCTATATATGATATATATTACAAAATTAATATTTTCAATCTTAATAAATAAATATACATAATGTTACAGATTTTTATCATTTATTGGAATTCTAAATATTTATAGAATCATTTAAATTTTAGCACAGTACTATATTTATATAATATAGGATATTTTTCATATTATATCATATTATATCATTTTTCCAAATCAAAATTACTTGTTATCAGAAAAAATGAATCACTTACTTGAAGCTTTGCTAAAGGTATAATGTCACAATCATTTGGACGGTGCCATACAGTTTTCTGAGATGTTGCATTATAATAATAAAAGCGTGAAGTATTTTGATCAAATAATTCCCACCATTGATTGTTATCTGTCTTTTTTCTAAAAACATAAAGTAAACTTTATATCTAAATATTTAAAATTTTAAATATTAATAAATTCAATATATATATAACAATTTTGTGTGCGCGCGCGTATGTATATGTAATTTAAAAATATCTGTTTTTGATTACTATTATCTTTAGAGAAATAGAAATCTTATGCATTATAAATGCTTTCTACATTGTAAAAGGAATATGATGATAACTTTCATCAAGTTAAATAGATCAAAAATTTTGTTTAAATCTTAGACAAGTAATTATTTTTTTAATAAGTATTGATGAAAATTAATAAAAATTGAATTAATAAAATTCTTTCAACTTAATACTTAATTATATTATTTAAAATAATTTTTTTTATATACAAGAATATTTATATCTTACACTGGTACACCAGGTGGAGGATCCCATACACATTCTCCAGTTGTAAGATTAGCATACATATGCTCCTTAGTTCGAGGTTCTATAATTTCCACCCATTCCATTCTACTGTAATTATACAGATTTCTGATTATATTTTTATAAATATATAAAATTAACATAAAAATATATAATTATCATAAAAATTTATATAATTCATCATAAAATAATTTTATTTTATAAATTTTATTATTTCCTGATATGAAGATTAATTAAATAAAAAAATCATTTATTTAAGAAAATTATCATATATATTATATTAATAAATATCATATATATTATATTAATAAAGATATTTAAATAAAAACATTATGATATTTAATTTAATAAAACTAATAATAATAACATAAACTTAATAAAATTAATTGAATG